ATTGAATTGGTCCTTGCATTGGCTTTTATTCTTGCTCTTTTTTTTTTGAAACAAGTGCGGTAGTACCACACTTTCAAACTGTAAAGGCAAAAAAAACACTAATGGGCAACGAAAAAATGGCCGTAGTTCGAAAAGGCAAAGATAACAGTAATGGGCAGTAACCTCACGCCCCGACTTCAAAAAGTGCGCTGGCGTCACATCCACGGTGGTCCCAGCCCGTGGCCGCGCGGCACCGCGCCGCGCCGTGCCGCGGCTGGGATTTTTTTTCTTTTTCTTTTTCTTTTCCAGTTGGTCGCACCGCGCCGCGCCGTGCCGCGGCTGAGAAAAAGAAAAGAAAAAAGAAAAAAAGAAAAAAGAAAAAAAGAAAAAAGAAAAAAAAAGGTGTATCATCCCCATGGTAGGGCCATGGCGGAGATGTCTCGGCCACACCCCAGATTGGCCACGGCCGAAATGTCTCGGCCACACCCCATGGTCGGGCCACGGCCGAGATGTTTCGGCCACACCCCGGATTGGCCACGGCCGAGATGTCTCGGCCACACCCCAGATTGGCCACGGCCAAAATATTTTTCACCGGCCCGGTACTCGGGAACAGACCGGTACCCAGACCGGTACCGTGCCTGTGACACAGCCACCCATTTAAAACTGCCACAACCGCTCATATCAGACTTCGGCCTCGACGTTATTGCACTCCCATGTTTCGCTTGCCTTTTCGAAGTCGGGCCCCGACGAATATCCCCACAGATGTTTTTTTTGCCCTTTCGAAACTATTTTGTGCCACAAACGCACTTGCCCCTTTTTTTTTTTTTTTAAGGACAAAATTATCTGTAAAATTGTGAAAATTCAGGCCTCCCTTAACCTTCTATTGCAGGAACACTGCCAAAAAGCAGTGACTATGGGCTTCACTTCACTCCACCACGCACCAAAATCTGAAAACGACAAACAACACGGCGATCGTATCTTTCCACAGTTGCCCCAAATACAGCTATAATAACTGTACATTGTATTCAGGTGAAGACGGTAGCGGTAAATACACTGGCCATTTTGCTCAGCGATGACGTATTCTTCTGTTGGCTGTGTTTTGCCATCATGCGGGACAATGTGGCATAAAGCAACTGACTATTGGCCTCCCTTCACCGCTCTCCAAATTTGAAAAGGAGAAACAACATGGTGAGTGCATCTTTCCACCACCTAGCAGAAGATGCTGTCACCATTTCGCACATTTTGTGAGTCGTGCCGCGAGGTTCTTTATCTATATCTTCTTCTTCTTCTTCCTTTTTTTTCTTTTTTTTTCAATACAGAACCTCTTCGTTCTGGCTCCTGCCATTCTGGGGAGCAACAGTCTGGTTCCTATTCCCCTGGCAAGTCAAAACTGAATACAATGAAAACACGCGCACGCTCCTCTCCATTATGGTTGAGAGGCCCGAGTGGACGGCATTGATTACTTCCCTAGGGAAGGATGTGCCCCCCCTCACTCCTGCCTAAGTTAGCCTATATTCACTACCTTCTGAACCTCTGGGTCGCCTAGCTTCTAGCTCCTCTCAGCTGGGTGCTGTTGGATAAGCCTGTACGCGAGAGCAGATGTCGGGGGCTGGCATCAAAGGGTTTGCTTAGAAATGGTTTCTGCACAGCTTTATCCGATTATAACAAGGGACCCGCCTGAACTTGCTAATTTCTTGAGCTCTGTGGGGTTTTATCTTCTAACCTCCCTCTCTCACAGCTTTTGGGCTGTGCGGTATTCTGACTCCTGTCTGCACTGTTGTTTCTGTCTTTTGCCTTCTCTTGCACCCCGAACACTGGGCTACTCGGGTCGTCTGTTTTGTGCAGCTTGTTTTTTTTTTTTTTTTTTTTTTTTTTAAAGCTATGTCCGTAAGGTTCCTAGAGGGTTTTGCCCTTTCATAGCCGAATTTTATGGGAATACTAGAAAGGTGAGGTTTATTTCTGGTTGACTCAGCTATTGGGATGGAAGTGCTGTACTGTGATTCCCTTGATTGAAGTGGATTCAACCGTGCTCCTCCCATTATGCTCTCTTGTCTTACCCCTGCCTAAGTTAGCCTATAGTCACTACCTTCTGATCCTCTGGGTCGCCTAGCTTCTAGCTCCTCTCAGCTGGGTGCTGTCGGATAAGCCTGGATACGAGAGCAGATGTCGGGGGCTGGCGTCTAAGGGTTTGCTTAAAAATGGTTTCTGCACAGCTCTACCCGATCATAACAAGGGACCCGTATGAACTTGCTAACTTCTTGAGCTCGGTGAGGTTTTATCTTCTGACCTCTCTCTCAGCTTGCGGTATTCTGACTCCTGTCTGCACTATTGTTTCTGTGTGAGGAACAAGCCCTCAAGGGGCCCTATCAGACATCACATTGTTCTGGGCTAAGGCTCCCAGCAAGCCAAGTGCCCGCCCTAAGTGAAGGCGGGCCTGAATATTCATCAAAGGCAAAATTCGACATTTCCATATGTGGGTATTCAGGCTCTCGCAGCACGCCAGTTGGTTGGGAAGACGCGTGAGCCTCACATTGCTGCGTCATACAGTTGGCCCAGGCCTTGACAGTTGCGCTTGGGCACACATACAAAAAGCAGGGCCGATACATTGGGAAGCAGGCTTTCGGCCTTTGCAAAAGCGGTAGTGCCGACGCACCTGCCTGGGAGCCCTGCACAGATGCAGCAAACAGCCCAAGTCCGGAAACTCATGCCGTGCCTAACTGCAAAGGGCCAGGCCCTCAACTGTAGTCTCGGGCCTGGGCGCAGGGTCTGGGACCCAACCGGAAGCTACTGGAAGCTTCCAGCCAGGCCACACGCAGCATCCAGGAGGCTGCCACTTCCACAAACGGAGTGAGGCAGCCCAGGCCAGGCATTCTGGCCAGTGCTGGCAATGCGGAAGTGCTGCTGCGCTCTCYCTTGATGCTGCGCTGCTGCCAAGGGCGCTGACGGGGCGCGTAAAGGTGAAGTGGGGCGCTGCAGGGCAGCAGGGCGCAGGCGCCCATAGCCGGGCTGCTGGGCACCAGGGGGTAATGCGGGCGATTGAGTGGTCTTCAGGGAAGGAGGCAGGTGTGGGGTAATCAAGGTCTGATTGAGGGTGACGAGATACGTACCTGGTACATGAAGAGAGGTCGGCGATGGTGTTGGCAGTCATGTAAATTGGTCTTCGTGAGTCGAAGTGATCCTGTTGCGTGAACCAGCTGTAGGTAGGATAGTCAGGTAGAGTAGGCTGGGCGCTGAGCGCCAGACAGAGCAGAGCGACTTTGGATACTGTGTTGGTGTGGCCTACGGGCTTGAACATTGGCTCATGACTTCATTGTATTGCTCTATATGGATGGTTTTCTCGG